ACACATTGTGTTCTACCCATTTTATAAATGAGGAAGTAGACGGTGAGTGGCATTGCCCAGGGGTATACAGAAAGGCTGCGCAAGAGTGGGGTTGGAAGCGTGGCATTCTGATACTACATCCAGGGTCCTCACAGACCACAGCCACCAGGCCACAGCATGAGCCACGAGAAGCCTACACTAGGTTTCCTAACCGCCATCTCTCCTGACATTTGTGACTGTTTGGCAGATGCAAGAAATATTTTAGGTCCCCCAGACACTAACCTAGAATAAAATATAGGTGACCAAGGAGAGGCTAAGAAATGTCTACTCTCCGGGCGCCTGGGTGGCTCAGTGGGTTAAAGCCTCTGCCTTCAGCTCAGGTCATGATCCCAGGGTCCTGGGAATGAGCCCCATATCGGGCTCACTGCTCAGCGGGGAGCCTGCTTCCCCCCTTTCACTCTGCCTCCCTCTCTGCCTACTTGTGATCTCTCTCTGTCAAGTAAATAAACAAAATCTTAAAAAAAAAAAAAAAAAGAAAGAAATGTCTACTCTCACATTAACCTGCACATGTGCACCTTTTCTTCCAAGAATTTCAGTCCCTAGGACTGGGTGAGAGAAATGCAGGTTTGGGGTACATCTAAACAAATTTTCTGGAAAAACATGCGAGTGCAGAATCAGATTTGGGGAAAATGTAGAAATACAAGTCCAGTGCCAAGGAGCCTAGGAGACAAGAACCTGGAGAAGTGAGTGAAGAGAGGCCCAATGATTCTGACCTTGGCAAAGGCAGATCATCCGAGCAGCAAAACGGACCTGTTCTCTCTGCTTGAGTGTTGGCAAGGAAATGAGCCAGGTGTTGCTTTTAAGATTAGCTCTATGACAGGTCTTTACACACTGTGCAGTGTGTAAGGAAATGATCCGAAGCCGGGCAGACCTGGGTTTGAATCTCAGCTAAGATTGATTATTTATTTATTTATTTATTTATTTGAGAGAGATACAGAGAGGGATAGCTAGAGAGAGGGAGGGTGCACATAAGTGGGGAGAGAGGGCAAAGGGAGGGGAGACGCAGACTCCCCACTGAGCAGGGAGCACAACATGAGGCTCGATCGTGGGACCCTGGGATCATGACCTGAGCCAGAGACAGAGACTTAACTGACTGAGCCACTCAGGTGCCCCTGAATCTGAGCTTTTGCATTTTCTGGCAATGTGCCCTTAGGCAAAGTAAGCATTCTCTCAAGCCTCCCTTTCTTCATCTGTGAAATGGCAAGAAAACGGATTCTCCCCTAGATGTTCCAGGAGGATGGCTGTGCTGACAGCTTGATTTTAACCCAGTGAGACTCCCTCACACTCTGACCTCCACTTCAGATGTTACATTTGTGTTGTGTTAAGCCACTAAGTTTGTGGTAACTTGTTACAACAGCTGTAGGAAATCAGTACAGATTTCGGCAAAACAACAACAACAAAAACAATCTCTTGGATCTGTTGAGAGATGAACATAAACGCCTAGCTGAGGGGGTCATAAGCGCTCATGAAATGACAGCTTTCAACATCGTTTTGTTATTTTGGAAGACAGGAGTAAATTCCTAAGTTATCATGTGCCACTGATCCCCTGAGGCCTGAAGGAGAGGAGAATGCACGGGGCAAAAGGAGAAAATTCTAGCTGTCAGTGACTAGAGCAGGTCATGCCCATCGCCATATCCCTGCCCTTCCTTAAGTCAGCCCGCCGTCAGGCTGCCACCCCAGCACTTTGTACCGCACGCCCGGCTAGATTTCCTCCCTTCATTCTTCTTTTTGCTCAAAGCAACCCCTCATCTACCTCCTCTTTCTTTCCTCCCACTCTTATCTGCATGGTTCCCCCCAGTCCTGACGGACAACCCTCCCACAGAGTATTCCTTTGTCTCTTTCCCCTTTATAAAACTCGGTGAGGTTGGTCATCTTTGGAAAAGTGTGTTATGAGGCTCAATGAGACACCGGGACCAAATACCATGTTCAGAGTCCCTTCAGCTCCTTTCTGGACCAATAAAGCCCCTCTTTGGTGGGCCTGCCTCCCCTTTTCCTTAAATCCCTAGTCCTGTCTCCCCACTTATTCGACTGTATACAGTCATTTTTGCTTGAATCCACGTTGCTGCAATCTCACTTTAAATTCCTTAAAGAACAAATTGCTTTCTTTCTTTTAAAACCAACAAATCAACACAAACAAGCTGCTACCCAGCAAATGGGTGCCTAATCCGTACTGGTCAAAATGGCACTGCCCTTGGCTTCTCCGGGGTTTTGCCCTTTACTCTCTATACTTGTGTTGTCTGAACTTTCGCCTTTCGCCATCTATTTATTTTTGTCTCTAGATGGTAACTCAACTGGTCGGGAGAAATGTCTGTGCATACCAGTCAGGAACTTTTTGTTTTTTTTTTTAAGATTTTATTTATTTATTTGACAGAGAGAGAGAGAGAGAGATCACAAGTAGGCAGAGAGGCAGGCAGAGAGAGGGGGAAGCAGGCTCACCACTGAGCAGAGAGCCTGATTTGGGGCTCAATCCCAGGACCTTAGGATCATGACCTGAGCTGAAGGCAGAGGTTTAACCCACTGAGCCACCCAGGCGCCCCCCAGTCAGGAACTTTACAGTTACTGGTCTGGTCACAGGAGAAAAGATCTCCCTTGGTGGACTTTATGCATTAACCCCTTCAGGGCGCTGAGGCTCAGCTCAGTCTGGCCTGTGACAGTTACTGCAAACATTGCAGGAAAGAATGAATGCCATTTCTAAGCGGGAACTACACAGTAAGATCTTGTAACAATGGCCTGGTTTCTTTTAGTCACTCAGCAAACATTGATGGAAGACCTACGATGCTCCTAATTCTGGGCGCAAAACACTCGTGGATTTTAATTCTTTCATTTCCCACAGCGGCCCAGGCAAACGAGTAAGGGAAAATAGGGAAGTTGAGATGATGTAGAAGGCTGTTAATGCTTAGGATGTAACAATGAAGTTAAATTTTAGCAAGGGCTGAGTCAAGCGGAAGGCTTGCCTTCCATTGATTCCCGATACAAACTGGGATGTTAGCCAAACTGCCTCAGTTATTACCTCATGGTCACCTTGCTCTTCTGGGTCTCTGCTCCCTGACTTTTCCTTTCCCTGGAATGTCGGTGAGCCCCACCTTCCTCCCACACTGCCCTACATCTCTAGTCTACTTATCAAAACCATACACTTTCTGCAAGGCTTACATCTTCCCTATTCAGAACTGCCGCAGCACTTAGGGTCTCAATAGATGTAGTAAAGTTATTTAGGAAATATTTTAGCTTCCCTACTAGAGCATAAAATCCCAGACTACTGCAATCTACCTTAGTGACCTTTGATTTAGTATATGAATGTAGGAAGTAATTAGTTGCTTAGATCAATACCACAGTAAGAAATCTGGATGGCTTTTCTGAAGGTATTTTAAGTACGAAGGCTAAAATAATTGACCCAAACACTTACCCTCAAGTTCATTCCAAGACTCCTCAAGGAGAAAGAGGCCCACTTACTTTTAGTACCATACAAAGCACTACACCTCATAAATAATTTCTGGGAGCCAGTGTGGGCTGGTGGATGAGCTTGGGCTCCAGAGCCACTCAGACCAAGGTCTCCAGCCTAGTTCTTCCACTTACTGGTTGCATGACCCCACGGATCTTAAGTACCTAAATTAAAGCTTCAGTGTCCTCACCTGCAGAATGAGGCTCCTCCCCTTTTTTTCTTTTTCTACCTAATTGGGCTGTGAGTGTGTGTGTGAGAAGCACCGAGGAGAGCAGCACATGGAAGGATCTATACACCAGCCCGTCTTCTCCCACTCCCTGCCTGGTGCAACAGGGTACTTTTTATTTTTACTTACTTATTTTTTTTCCAAGTTTTAATTTAAATTCAAGTTAGTTAACGTATAGTGTAGTATTGGTTTCAGGAGCAGAATTTAGTGAATCCTCACTTACATATAACACACAGTGCTCATCTCAGCAAGTGCCCCCCTTAATGCCCATCACCCATTTAGCCTGTCCCTCACCCTCACCAACAACCCTCACTTTGTTCTCTATAGTTAAGAGTCTCTTATGGTTTGCCTCCCTATCTGTTTTTGTCTTATTTTATTTTCCCTTTCCTTCTTCTATGCTCCTCTGTTTTGTTTCTTAAATTCCACATATCAGTGAGACCATGTAATTGTCTTTCTCTGATTGACTTATTTCACTTAGCATAATACCCTCTAGGTCCCTCCGCATCAGTGCAAATGGCAAGATTTCATTTATTTTTGATGGGTGAGTAATATTCTGGGGTGTGTATGTGTGTGTGTGTGTGTGTGTGTGTGTATAAATAAATATGTATTTAGATACCACATACCACATTTTCCTTAACCATTCATCAGTCAGTGGACATCTGGGCTCTTTCCGTAGTTTGGCTCTTGTTGACATGCTGCTGTAAACATCAGCGTGCAGGTGCCCCTTCAAATCTGTATTTTTGTATCCTTTGGGTAAATAAGCAGGATACTTTTTAAATTGCCAACTATTTTTGAAAGTAAAAAATATTCTGATAATAATGGTTTTTAACAGCTGCCTGTAGTCCATATGGGCCCTATCTGCCAACTCTGGCCATGGGTTTGCCTTTTGGGTTTCGGTTTGCTGTGACCAAGAGCAGGAAGAGCCATGCCAGGACCACTGCCCAGTCTTCCCACATCTGCCCTTGCCCAGGCGCAGGACCTCAGTTCATCACACAGACGTGTGCAATCTGTGTATTCCACACCTTAAAGGACAACTGAAAGTCACCTATCAGACTCCAGCAAGCTTTCCTTTTTTTTACTTCTCAGTAAAATTACGGTAAAAAAAAAAAAAAATTGCAACGATTCCCGAACTTAGTAACCAAATTTCCACCCTTGCTAAATGATTGCCTGACTTTGGTTTGAATGCTTCGAATGCGAGAAGCTGATCCGCAATGGTGCGAGGTAGGCATGTCGTGGAACGAGCGTCACTTGTCACCTGGTCCTACTCAGTTGTATTCTTCTCCACTGTGTCTCCAGCTTGTGCCAAATCCTGACAATGGCGAAAGATGACTCCACTGTTCGTTGCTTCCAGGGCCTGCTGATTTTTGGAAATGTGATTGTTGGTGTAAGTATTTTTCAGGAAACACTGTTCCTTCTGTAATCACAGTTTTTGGATTAATCAAAAGTGAGAGTTTAAAGGAAAATAATGATCTAATTACTGGCTTCCTCTCTCTTTTCTTGATTCCAGGAAATGTTTTAGTAAAATATGTTAGCTAGAACTTACAGAAATAATCATATGTAACTATGTAATATGTTGAAAGATCATGGTTTAAAAAAAAAAAAAAAGGTTATTTCCCTCCCAACTTCCAAATACAGAAATCTGAAAGAAGCCACATCCACCACGGTCAGTGTTCAAACATTCCCACCACATGCACACTTTGGTGTTCCTTTCCTACTTCACCTTGGTTTGATTTCCACAGAACTATTCTGTTAAGGCTGTTGGGGACAGATGTTTGCATTTATATGTCCTTATCATGCAGAGGTCAGTACCAGGATGTGACAGTGGCTCAGAGTCCTGGCCGTGTGAGCTCAGTGTACTGACAGAGTACTCGAGAGTCAGGATCACTGGCTCTAAGCCAGCCCTGCCTCCATCTCCACAGGACTTTGGACAAGTCATCGACTTTCAAGGCCAAGAGCCCTCATCTATAAAAGGCAGGGTGTGGGAAAGATAACCACCAAGGTTCCTTGGATCTCTGGCACTGATGAGTACGACCAGGACTAGTTTCAATATTACAATTCAGGAATTTGAGGGAAGGGCAATGGAAGAGGGGCTCTGAAGTTATCTCCATACAAGAAGATATTGTTGAGTGGTTCATGCCCCAAGGACTCTAGATGGTCTAAAATTGCCTGGGTCTTTTCCCAAATAGCAATTAGACAGAGGGACATATGGGAGGAAGCATGCAAGTTATTAATAGGATGGAAGGCGCTGTTTGATTTCCTCATAATGCATTTAAGTCCATGGCTTTGTGCCTACGCAGGGACAGAGTGAGTCTCTCTCATAACCCTCTTCCCACACTTCTGCACCCCTTTCCCAATGCTGCTCTCCTGACCACTGGCCTGATAGAACACCCTTTGCCCCCAGATGTGCGGCATCGCCCTGACCGCAGAGTGCATCTTCTTCGTATCTGACCAGCACAGCCTCTACCCACTGCTTGAAGCCACCGACAACGATGACATCTACGGGGCAGCCTGGATTGGCATGTTTGTCGGCGTCTGCCTCTTCTGTCTGTCCGTTCTAGGCATTGTAGGCATCATGAAATCCAACAGGAAAATTCTTCTGGCGGTGAGGCCTTAAAACTCCCTACAGTTGCCTCCTGGATTGCTTTTGATGGACTGTTTTTCCTTCCCTGAGACAGTGACTTGGCTTGTGGGGGAGGTAGGAGCAGAGAGAGCCAGGTGAAGGGTGAAAAGGAGGTCAAGATTTGCCCTGCAGTGAAGCTTATCCATGTGGGGGGCAAGGATGTCCTCCACTCTTGCAAGTCCAGAAGATTCCAGTACAGAGAACCCACAGGGGAGCAACCTGGAGGTGACCCTGTTGAGTATTTTCCAAATCTGCTTCTCTACCTGGTGTTGGCATGCCTCCAGCAGGTACAGCCAGGAGCTACCTAGGCCAAAGGAGAGACAGACTGAGAACATGATCATTAGATTTTTTTCTCTTGACAATAAGTAGTCTAAAGTATGATTTTAATATTAATCAGTCATTGACATTTTAGGATATAAAATACAAAATAAGCATGAATTTTTAAGAGAAAGCATGAACTTTTTCAGACATTTTTGAGCTCAAAGATGATGGTTTTGTATAATGACCTGCATTTTCCATATTTTGCATTCACTCTACTTTTCAGGGACTCTAGAAAACCTTGATGCACAGCACTATAGAGTACAACTTCAGCTCCTAACCCTGTGCCCCACAGACAGGCTTCTGCCCTGAGCCACAGACAGCCAGGTCATGCCTTGCTTTGTATATAGAAGCAAATGTGCAACCAACAGAGCTAAGAAACCTTGGTTTTGGGTCTAGACCTCTATTCTCTGCCCCCATGCTCAGGACAATGGTTTCTCACACTGTGATGGGGTCCCACACCCACTCCCCACCCTGAAATAACTCTCCTATCCAAATGTCGCAGGACCTGAGTTACATCTTTACGAAACAAGCCCAGCAACCTAAGATGCTTGTTGGTTTACTTTTCCTGTGATCTAAACATTGTCCTAGCACCCAGGGAATGCAGAACATTTACATTCTCTGATTCCTTTAGCATGAGTTATTTCCAGGGCAAAAGCAGCCACTTTTTCAGGCACGGGAAAGAATGCAGGAAAATGAAGAGGAGGGGCAGGTGTCTCCAGAGACAAGTTTCACTTGCATCCCGGTCTCACTTTGGGCCAGCCTTGTATGCCTGACACAGCCGAGAGAGAACATTCTTCACTGTGCTCTGCAAAGAGAAGGAGCAAGGAACCTTCCCAGGGGCTGATGGAGAAAACTCCTGCACCCGGAGGCTCCTTTCTAGAGTATCTCTGAATCATCAAAGCTCTCTCTCTCAATATCTCTCTCTCTTCTTTCCTCTTTTAAGGATTTTATTTTTAAGTAATTTCTACACCCAATGTGGGTCTCAAACTCATAACCCCGAGATCAAAAGTCACATGCTCTAGGGACTGAGCCAGCCAGGTGCCCCCCATCATGAAAGCTCCTGACAAAAAACAAGTAGCAAATGTTATGAGGCCTCTGATTAATCAAAGGCCATAATCTTTCTGTGACTGGCAGCTGAGTCATTAGGGCAGCCCAGGGTCCTGCTCAGAGAGCCGTCCCTGCCCATGGAGAGAGCACAGTTTTCCTTGCCCTCCCCCACGTACACCCACAGCAGCGCCCGTTCCCTGGGAGAACCCAGGGACCCGATGCGAATACGCAAGGCTGAGGAAAGCAAAGACAGACCCTTGCAAGAGTTCCCATCCCAGATTCAGAGGCAACTTGCTCTTGAGATATTTTCCAGTCATAAATAGAGGCAGAGTGGTGGGAAGGCATCGTGCGAAAGTGTGTGTGCGCATGTGCGAGTGTGGACACACAGACACAAGACGGCAACACACAGCGGGGTGTGCTCTGCTCGCCTGCCCCATACCTGGGAACCTGGGGGCTGAGGGACGAGAGCCGGCGCAGGCCTGCGTACCGGGAGCCTCCCGCCCCTTTTTGGAGAGACTGGACGCTTGGCAGGAGGGATGCTGGATGTTAAACACGATCCAGTTCATCTTTTCTGACCTCTGTACTTCTAAAGTTTCAGTAAACCATAAAGAAAATTTCTCTCACTGAGAGGGAATTTAAGAAGCTCTATAGAGGGTCTGATCCACCAAGACGGTCTTGCCGGCCACCGAACAATCATGCGCATGCGCACATCAGTGCCTTCGCTTGCGTGTTTTTCTGTTAAAATAGCAATGTAGAAAAGAAATTTCTCACTGGGCTGAGAAAGCTCTGTATTCAATAGTCATTTGTTCTCTGGGCATAAGGAGGGAATTGAACGGATTAGCACCTGGTACCAAGTCTTGCTCCAAACAGCTGATCCACGAGGGTTTGCTGAATAATTTCATTAATGATTGGATGGTTTGACTTAGATGAATATGCTGAAAGATATAACAATTATTTTTTTTAATTCTCTCTTTGGAAATAAATGTAATTCCTTTCCCCCCCCCCCACTTGTTTCCCTTCCAGTATTTCATTCTGATGTTTATAGTATATGGCTTTGAAGTGGCGTCTTGTATCACAGCAGCAACACAACGAGACTTTGTGAGTACAATCACAAAAAGCACAGAGTGGAAATGATCATGGGAGTCATCATTGTCATAACAATATAATAGCTGACATGTATTAAGCCCTTACTCTGTACCAGGTATGCTAACATGTGCATTAATATTAAATATACAAGTTTCCTTAATCCTCATAATTACTCCACGAAATAGGTATTATCACAATGGTCACTTTATAGATAAAGAAATGAGACTTGAAAAGGCGAGGTAACTTGTCCAAGATTACATGGCTGGTAAGTGAAAGAGGAGAATCCTGAGTCCAGGCAGAGCAACTCCCGGGGCCCAAGCTTGTACTGCTATGCTCTTCCCACTCAGCGGTGGCCATCGGCTCTTCCATAGGATAATCAACAGTCCACCACATCTAAGACTTCCTTGTTTTCTTGTTTTCTCTCCTTTTCTCCACTTCCAAGCCTAGGCCACCGTAAAATGCCTGCCCACCTTGGTCTCACTGGGATTTGTTTGAACATGGGAAGAAGGGAAAAGGAAAACTTCTCCCTTCATGGGGACTTCAGCCATCCAGAGCCTCACACCCATCCCACCCTTTCTTGGGGCCTCTACAGACAGTTTTAATCCGGGAGATAATGATCAGTGCCCCTAGCAAAAGGCAAGGCACATCACTTTGCTTCCTTGTTGGATGAGCGTGCTAACTCTCCTTTTGTTGTCTCCTCCCACCATAGTTCACACCCAACCTCTTCCTGAAGCAGATGCTAGAGAGGTACCAAAACAATAGCCCTCCAAACAATGATGACCAATGGAAAAATAATGGAGTCACCAAGACCTGGGACAGACTCATGCTCCAGGTAATGCCTGCAGCCTTCGGGAGATAGTATTCTGTACCTCAACCAGTATCCAGGAGTGAAGGTATGGATGGCAGTGAAGTCAAAGAATGGGGAACACAGCCTCTAGGGTGGTTTCATTCAAAAAGAGATTGGACTGGGGCCCCTGCGTGGCTCAGTGGGTTAAGCGTCTGACTCTTGATTTCAGCTCGGGTCATGATCTCTCTGTGTTGTGAGATAGAGTCCTGTGTTGGGCTGGGCATGGAGCCTGCTTCAGATTCTCTCTCTCCCTCTCCCTGTGCCTCTCCCTTGCTGCTCACATGGACTCTCTCTTCTCTCAAAAAAAAAAAAAAAAAAAAAAGGAAAAAGGAAAAGAAAAAGAGACTGGACATAGGTGAGTTCATTCATTCTCATTCATTCTTCTTATCTATTCCTCTTGTGTGCACATCACTCAGTGGGACCCCTAGATCTATATTTTATTTTCGAGCCATGATGTTGATTAACTTCCATTTAGGGATAATGACACTGTTAAGAAATTTAGATAAATCACACGCACTGTCTCTTAGAACTCAAGCATCATTTACACTGGAAGAACAAGTTTGCTTCCTCCACATCACAGTGAACTCAAGGGGCAATTATTGCCTATTTTGCTTATTTAGTTCCAATGGGCTAGTCCTGCCAAGGACCATGGGCTATGACCTGACTTGATTGTCCACTTTTCTGTCACTGGCCATCATACCTTATATACGAGTTTACCTTAAACATCATCAAAAATCCAAGTCTTTCAAAATATCCATTGTTACCCCTGAATTGCCTTATGTATATGAATATCTATCCCTAACTAAACCCTAATCTGACCCAACTCTCATACTGTCCCTGCCTCCCCTTCCCCTCTACTGGCTCACAGTGCATCATCAGCAAACTCCCTTATAGCCTCTGCTCCCTCTTTGATGTCTCTTTACCCCCTATTCTCTATCACTTCCTTCATTTATCTGAATATTCTCATTCCAATAATTCTTTTTAGCCCGTTAGGACCTCCAATTCATTGCCACTTTTTTATTTTCTACCTACTCGTCTGACTATAGGTCATGTACTTTTCCCACTCCGTTAGCAAGAGCTATAAGCTCTTCAAGTAAAAATGCAAACGCCCACACATCTGAAAAATCTTCTTACCAACTTCTAAAAACCCAGTCTGAACTTAACCATTTTCCCTCCAAAAGGCTCAGATCAAAATACAAGAAAAGTATTTCCTTTGCCAAGGTATTTTCAGTGGCAAAATAGAATCTGCTTTAAAGACAGCTGATTTGGAGCACCTGGGTGGCTCAGTGGGTTAAGCATCTGTCTTTGGCTTAGGTCAAGATCCCAAGGTCCCAGGATTGAGCCCGGTGTTGGGCTCCCTCCTTGGCAGGGAGTCTGCTTCTCCCTCGGCCCCTCACTCTGCTTTGCTCGCACTCTCTCTCTCTCTCAAATAAGTAAATAAAATTTAAAAAGAAGTAAAGACTGCTGATTTACCATCAGATTTGTTTGAAAGTAATTCATTCTGAAAGTTGAGAGGGGCCTATAATTTTAATTTCTTCCCTTGAAACATTTTAGCAGAATTTCTACTAAGGAAGGAAAGTGATACGAAGAATGTTTTATTTTATCCTTTGTCCTCAACTCTATCGAGTGTGAGGATGTTAGCTATGTGTTCTGTTCCTTGATCTTCTCTCCTACGTAAAGGCAGAGCTATATGCCACCAGGTTTGGGTTATTTTTTTCCAGTTTATTTTCTCCCGTTATAAATGTAATACCCAATTATTCTAGAATATGTTAAAAGTACAGAAATGTAAAACAACAGGAATTACTCATTACTTCTTTACTTCTTTACCACTAAAGATTTTAATTTTCTGACTCTCAATTTGCTTGTGTCATATGAGAATAATCATACCTCCCTCACATTGCTGTATCAAGATATTAGTATTAATAGTTAATAATTAGTATTGATTATTAATATTAATTAACATTGATTAAGTAATTAATTAGTATTAATGATTGACCCTTAATAAGTAAGGGCTTACTATGGGACACTGTACTAGAGGCACTGTACTAGACAGGTCGGGCGCATTAGCTAATTTCATCCTCACAGGAACTCTGAGAACGGTGGACTGTGAAGGAAACAAAGTCATGTTTTACAGTGAAGGAAAGTGAGGCGTAGGAGGGAGCTGAACTTATCAGAGGCTTCAGAGTTCATTAGCAGCTAGTGGAGTAACAAATGGTGAAGTATTTTGTAAGTTTTAAAATGTAGGTTATCAATACCCTCCGCTCTCATTTGGGGAATTCTAGGAAACGTAAGATATGGTACATTTTCCGTATCTTCTTTCTCCGTAAAATCTCAGTTGCTACATCGATGGCTGTAGCGAGCAGCATGAAGAGAATTTTGCATCTCTGCTCTGCTGACAGGACCACTGCTGTGGTGTCAATGGCCCGTCAGACTGGCAGAGATACACATCTGCCTTCCAGACTGTGAATAATGATGCCGACTATCCCTGGCCTCGTCAGTGCTGTGTGATGAACAGTCTGAAAGAACCTCTCAACGTGGAGGCCTGCAAGCTAGGAGTGCCCGGGTACTATCACAAAGAGGTGAGTCCCTTCTGCCCACCACCTGCCAGAAGGTTTTCTGCTCTTTATGAGGGAAAGACTGATGAACTATAGTCATAACGTCTCATGAAGAATTCTGCATCATTTTGCCCTAAACCTCACATCAGCTATTTCCTTCTCTGTCAGTAAAATGCAAATGCTAATCTAGGGCTGTTCTGGGAAAATCAACATTTATTTTTTTTATTTTTATTATTTTTTAAGATTTTATTTATTTATTTGACAGAGATCACAAGTAGGCAGAGAGACAGAGGGGGAAGCAGGCTCCCCGCCGAGCAGAGAGCCCGATTCTGGGCTCGATCCCAGGACCTCGGGATCATGACCTGAGCCGAAAGCAGAGGCTTTAACCCACTGAGCCACCCAGGCGCCCCGAAAATCTACATTTTGATAACAGAACAGGAGAATGGTGATAGCAAAGTCCAACTTTGTTTAAATGCAAACTGTTTGTACAATAGAATATAGACTTGGTACTTCAAAAACTATTTTTGCTACGCAAAGATTGGTTCTCTTTTTGCAAAAATGTAAATTGGGGGGGGCTGGGTAGCTCAGTGGGTTAAAGCTTCTGCCTTCAGCTCAGGTCATGATCCCAGGGTCCTGGGATCGTGCCCTGCATCGGGCTCTCTGCTTGGCAGGAAGCCTGCTTCCTCCTCTCTCTCTGCCTACTTGTGATCTCTGTCTGTCAAATAAATAAATAAAATCTTTAAAAAAAAAAAAAAAAGGTAAGTTGGAAGGGGTGTATACAAAAAGAATGTTTTGCTAGTGCCAGAGCAGTGGCAATTGGTGATGGTAAATGCAGTAATGATATAACCACCCTCATTATTCTGTAGTGATATAGGATGGTCTTAATAGAATATTAAGTTAATGATTTGGGTAGAAGGCAGTTTACATACAGATGGTTTTTAAGAAGGTATTTCCAGCCTGATGGAAATGATAAAACGAACCTGAAAACTAACATTTGTTGAGTACTTACAAAACCAGATACCGTTCCAAGTGCCATATGTGTATTAACTCATTTAAGGCTCAAAGGTAGGGGTCAATATGATTCTTATTTTACGGATGAGGAACTGAGACACAGAGGTATAAGAAGCACCTTGCCCGGGCGCCTGGGTGGCTCAGTGGGTTAAAGCCTCTGCCTTCGGCTCAGGTCATGGTCCCAGGGTCCTGGGATCGAGGCCCACATCGGGCTCTCTGCTTGGCGGGGAGCCTGCTTCCTCCTCTCTCTCTCTGACTGCCTCTCTGCCTACTTGTGATCTCTCTGTCAAATAAATAAATAAAATCTTTAAAAAAAAAAAAAAAAGGCACCTTGCCCAAGGTCACTCAGCTAGTCAATGGTTGAGTCAGGATTCAAAGCCAAGCAGTCTGGCTCAGGAGCCCAGACTGTAAGCCAAGAAAAAACTTGGAAATATTCCCAAAAAGCCTGAGGAGAATTCTCCTATACTTGGAATCAGCCTCTGAAATGCCTCTACTGCTTTGCGAGTTACCACTTTGAGGGAATCTGGCTGTGTGTCAGTTAATTAAATATTGAGAAATGTCAGACTCCTTAGTCTGGGAGTAAATACTACAAAGGGCACGTTCAGAATGAAAGACACTAAACAGCTGATCGTCATGCCGCACCTCGGAGGGTGCCGGACTAGGATCGGTTGCGTTTATCCAGAAAAGAACATGGGTGTGATGCAGATTATTTTGCAGAGTCCCTCAAAGCCACCCTTTTTAGCTTTTCAGCAACTGTTGCTGCATCAGTTACATTCAGACTGCTGTAACAATTAACTGTGCTCCTTATTATCACAATATGCTGTATAATGATCACTCTCAAGGGAAATAAATGCTTTCAGTATTTCAACCTTGGCACAGGCCCACACAAAAGTACCTTGATTGGATTGGATTGTGTATAGAGTGTATCATCTCTGTGAAAGGGCAGGAAAGGGTATTTGTCGTGAAAAAATCAGCTGATCTCCCTCAGACATGTAATGTTCTGGTAGGGAGGAAAGTCCCCATGAGTTTTGACAATGCCTCCCACCTCCTCCCATAGGGTTCCTTGGTCTCACCTGTGCTTAACATTCTACTTCCTCTCCCCACTAGCTGCACAACTACAAACTTACCATCACGCAGCCCTACTCCCCTGCCAAAGTCCTGCACCTGAAATTCTTCTCTCTGTTCCTGGCTCCCTGTGCTCCTACTCTCTCAATCTCACTCATTCTTCACTCTCTCTTTCTGCCTCTCCCTCTCCCAGTACCCCAGATTTCCACACACCACCGTTCTTTCTGAGTCATAGGTCCTGCTACTTCTCCTATAGCAATCCCTTTCCACCAAGTGAAATATGGCCCAGTTCTTCCTATATTTGACTTCTGTTATTGCAGCCCTGAGCCATATTGTAAGTATTTGCTCACAAATCTTTTCTGCTCACTATCTTTTCTGAGTCTCCCTGAGGACCGTGCATTACTCAATTCTACATCTTCAGTACATCTCATACTGCCTGGCCCAGAGCATGCACTGAGAACTGTTTGGTGGGTGGGTGGTGGAAGAGGGGAATAACTCTCTTTTTCACATCCATATTGTAGTTTTCCAAATCTACATTGCATAAATGAAGGCTAACAAAATTAGGGATGTCCTCATAGGTGTGGGGAAAATAGAAACTAACCAGGAATTCACACAGCATGTCAGATGCAGATACATGTGTTCTTACTCATGGTCCACCTGCCCCAGAAATACCGTGTGCAAAATCTGATCATTGTACCTCAGGAATATTATCACAGAACTGAGGAAGATCAAGGAAACCAGCACAATGATAAAAGAAAAAACAAAAAACGAAAAACACACACTCTGAGCAGGAACTAAATTAGAAGAGGTGAAAAAACTGGGGCTTTTGTCTGTGAGTTCTAAGAACAATGCCCATGTCTGTCTTGTCACTGCTGAATGCCCAGCCCAGTGCCTGGCACCCGACTTAAGTGGTTTCTATGGGTACCTGTTAGGACAAACGACCCCCTCCAAGGATTGTTAGGAGGATCCGTGAGTAATGGATATAGGAGTGTTCATGAACTATTGGGTCACAAATGATACTGTTGTAATCATTACTTCATATCGGGCTCCATTCATTCTATCAACATTATTGGGTGCCTACTTTGTGCCAGGCACTTGTGCTGGGTCCTAGAGATTCAGCCACAAGCACAAAAAAATCCCTGCCTCATACTTGCACTATAGCATGGGTGAGAGACACCAAACAAGTTACCAAACTAATACATGATAAATTCCTGGTAGTGATAAATGCCATGAGCAGAAGTAAAGCAGGGTGAATATATATGGAATGACAGGAGAAAGAGTGTTTTCCCCTACGGTGGTCAAGAGAGGCTTTGTTGGGGGATACTTGCACAGAGTTCTGAATTAAATGGGGGAAATGAGACATTTAAAGAAGATTGAGGAAGAGAGTTCTAAGCAAAGGAGACAGCAGGTGCAAAGGCCCTGAAGTGGGAGCATTCTTAGCTTTTTATAAGAACATCAAGGACATCAGTGTGGCAAGGCCAGAATGAGTGAAGGAAGAGTTGAAGACTGGGATGCTTTAGATTTTGTAGGGCTGGAATCTGTATGGAAGGATACCCTCCTTAGGAAAAACAATTAAAAATATGCATACAAAATTAGGTACAGGGACTTGAAATGGTCTTGTAAGTAAGCAGCCCTGAAGCTTAAGCTCGTTAGCTTTACAGGGAAACAGCCTCTGGAAGAGGACACTGGGCTCATAGAGAGGGGCAGAGCCACGTCAGACAGGCCCAGTAGGCCATTGTGAGGACTCAGAATTTCATTTTAAGGGTGGTAGAGAGCCATTTCTTTTGAGCAGGGGTTTGAAGTGATCTGATTAATGTTTTACAAGCATCCCTCTGGCACTGTATAAAGATAAGTAGGGTGCGAACAGTGGACTCAAGCCCCAGAGAGACCAGTGAAGAGGCTGTTGTAGTAATTCTGGAGAGAGACCATAGTGGACCAAGGCGGGGGCTGGAAGTAATGAGTGTTTGGATTTGAGATGTATTTTTAAAGTAGACCCAAAAGGTTTTGCTTAAGTATTTGATGTTGGATAAGAGAAGAACAGTTAAAGATAATTCCAGATTTTTTTACTTGAATGAGTAGGTGAATGGAGATGCCTGTAACATAGATAGAGAAGAGTAAATGGGAGAGAAATAAAGGCTTAGCAAAGTCAGGGGGCATAAGTGGGTTAACAAGGGCCTGGAACAGGGTCAGAAAGATGGAACCTCACGTGGTCATCTATAGCCTCGGGGTAGGGGCTAAACTTGAAGGTCAGCCTTTTGAGGACATTTCCCTCTGGACCTCAGTGGCCCATGGAACCCCCTGGCTGCTGCATTCACTAGACTTCTCCCAGAGCTTTAGCACAGGTCACTCAGAGGGCAGCTCTAACCTCATGCGTGTATTTTACTCCAGCACTTTGCATGGTGACTGGAACAGAGCCTGCCACGTATAAAAACTCACTGGATTATGGCATGCATGAATGAATGATTTGATTAATACAAGATGAATTGTTGGCACACATACCTTGGCTTCTCAAAGTCTCACTAGAATCCAATAAAGATATGCTGAAATATGATAGCAAATGAGAATTTAGAAAGCATCAAACAGGGTTTCCTTTAATGGTTAAAAAAAAAAACCTTTGATATTTATAGATCAGAAGCACTTTCATTTAAGAACAAACAAATCAAAGGTACCTCTGCCCTCAAAAAAATTAAAAACCACCGAAAAATTCTGTAGGGAGAGAATAAGTACTCAAATTTTATTACGAATACTTTATATTGTACTTTATGGTACAATTTTTTAAAAAAGAGAACACATTGCCCACGTATTCAATATGAAAAAACATCAGCCTAAAATAGCAGCACCTTTGTTAGACTGAGTGATAAAGACACAAAATCATGTGATCTAGAGTAGTTGTTGAACAGGACTATTTCTGTTCCCTCAGCAAAGCCCTATTGATACCCGCTGTCCATGGGGATGTGGAAATAGCCTGGGTATGTTAAACTAGACTTTGGGATAGTCTTGATCCAAGTAGAAATCTGCCTTCCCGCCCATTCCTTACATCTTCTTCTCTGGTTCTTCTCTCACCCACGTGGAACCCCGTGCTCCTCCAGGGGTGCTATGAACTCATCTCTGGACCCATGAACCGACACGCCTGGGGGGTTGCCTGGTTTGGATTTGCCATTCTCTGCTGGACTGTGAGTATTTCCCTGCACTTGATAAGGAGAGAACTTGAGAAGGCCCTGGTTAACCCAACCACGCTAGACAGTCTGGAAACAAAACCTCAGACCTGAGGGCGAGGTAGGAAGCTGCTGGCACCAGGCAAGGACTATGGATTCCATGGGCAGGTGGGGCATTTATATCCCCTCCATGGGAAGGGATATGCCCTACTAGCCAGATCTACTAGCTAATGGGGGAGCACTTGATTGCCTCCAGCTCTCTGGATCTCATTAATTCATTAATTTATTATACCGAAATACCACTTCCTGGGGAAGCTTCTAGAAAAGAAAATATACCTGGGCCCCGGTCTCTGAGATTCTGATTCATTGGATCCAGGGGCAGGACCCAAGCATTTAAAAAACCTTTTCTTTCCATATAACTCTAATTTGCTGTCAGGATTAAGAGCTGTTACATTTGGGAAGCAGGTCTAAACTTTTGATTTCCGAACCCCTTTACACTCTCAAAAATTACTGAGGACTCTCATAAGCTTTTATTTATGGGGGCTATATCTATTTATATTTACCCTAATGGGAATTAACCCAGAATTTAAAAAAAACTTATTAATTCTTTTAAAATAACAATAATAAACTAATTACATGTTAACATTAACAATGTATTTTTATGGGAAAAGTGACTATTTTCCAAAACAAAAAACAGAAAAGTAGCACTGTTTTACATTTCTAAAAATATCTTCAGTGTCTGGTTTTAACAGAAGACAGCTGGGTCCTTTTATTTGCTTCTTTACTTAATCTGTTATAGTAAATTGCTTAGGCTGAAGGATTTGAAGAAAATCCACCCTCACGCTGATAGGTAGCTGAAAAAAAAAAAGGAATGCTTTGATAACCTTATCTAAAAGTAATTGTGAATAATCTTCTTTGGTACTACACAAAACTTGACAACTAGCAGGTTCTTAAGCGTTAGTTGTGATGTGGAATCTAAAACTATGTCAACAAACTTTTCAGACTCTATTATATTAAAATACATTTACATCAGTTTGTCTTACAATTTACATAAATCATTCACCCATTCATGATTCCATAACATCATGCATTGGTCATTTGGGAAAATATTGGTTCACTGCGTTATGCTGATCTTCCAAATATTGGCTGAATTCTTTATGAGATACCAGGAAATCTGTTGCCACATCGGAAAGGACCTTTATCATGAGGATGCTATCAACCCATCATGATAGAAACAAGTTGCCTGATTTTTGCTTGAGCACCCAAATTTATCACTGGCAAGAAATACTGTCAGTTGTTTTCCTCGAAGAGACAGACTCACTTCATAAATTTTTGAGAAAATGTCTGCCAAACATTCAATCTGAATAACTGTAGCTTGTCTATTAGTCATTTTTTCAAGTAAAAATCATGTTTCATGAAAAAAATGGCTAGTTCAGGGGCCTCTGGGTGGCTCACTCATTAAGCGTCTGCCTTCAGCTCCGGTCATGATCCCAAGATCCTGGTATGAAGCCCCATGTCAATGGACTCCCTACTCAGCAGGGTGTCTGCTTCTCCCTCTCCCTCTGCCCCTCCACTCCCCCCTTCCCAGCTTGGAGCTCTCTCTCTAATAAATAAATAAAATATTTTTTTAAAAAAGGCTAGTTCAGTATACAGTCAAGCAATCACACAAGTGCTTTTCCTTAAGACAACCATTAGATTTCACTATGCAGCAAAACTGCTTTATGCATACTTTCCATTGCAAGAATATTAAAAAGATATATATTCAGGGGCGCCTGGGTGGCTTAGTTCATTAAGTGCCCAACTCTTAATTTCCACTCAGGTCATGTGATCTCAGAGTCTTGAGATCGAGCCCCCCATGGTGGGCTCCCCCTGTCTTCTTCCACTCTCCCCTCCCCGCCACTCTACTCCAGCACAGGAGCACACATGCACTATCTCTCAAATAAATTAAAAGAAGATTTTATTTATTTATTTGAGAGAAGAACAAAAGAGAACAAGGTGGGAGAGGGGCAGAGGGAGAAGCGGACTCCCTTCTGAACAGGGAGCCTGACATGGGGCTCGATCCCAGGACTCCAGGATCATGACCTGAGCCAAAGGTAGACGCTTTACTGACTGAGCCACCCAGGCACCCCAATAAATAAATCTTTCAAAAAAAAGATGAATATTCAAAGGTAAACATTTAATAAAATTAGTATTTCTTATTGCTTCATCAAAAACAATCTCAAAATTCTAAACTTCTAGATCACTTAAACTGCCTTTTTTTTCACTGCAAGTACGTAGCTGTGAAGAATACACTGACCACTGACACAATTTAGTGCTTCTACTTCGAATCCTAAGACGCCAGCAGTTTTACCTGCCCCTGCTTTTGCACCGTCAGTGCAAATGTGGAAAACAGTGAAAAGGGCAAATAAAGTCTTAACACTATTATGCAAATGGCTTTGACATTAGGCGCACCCACAAGGGTCCCTTGGGTGTTTGTGCACCACAGTTTAGGAAATGCTGGGTTTGGCGTGAGAAGCTGAGTGAGGCAGGAAGGAAAAGTGAGCTCCTTTAAGAGGTCTTCTGTGGTCCCTCACCCACCCTCAGGAAGTCCCACAGCGCCCCACTCCGCACACACGCGGCCATGTCTCCATCACTCTGATACGACGTATTTGTCTGCTAAAAACCAGTGATCCAGCTGCCCTCTGTATCCCCAGGGCCTAGCTGAGCACAAGCAGGCGCTTGATAGTTTGTTGAGTGAATGGAAAATGGTAACACGTTTCTATGACTTGAACGGTAACAACTTCTGTGAAGTTTCTCTTCCTGCCATGCTAGCAGGAACTGTGGGATACTGTTTAAAGGTTCTAAAGGATCTTAGCACTCCAGACCAGCTGAAACTCTTGACATTTCCACAAGCATCAAGTGCACTCTGAATCTATTAAGTCCCCCTGAAATTCAAAAGAGGGAAGCAAAAGGAACTAAATGTATTGAAGACCTCTATGGACAAGGCATCATGTCTGATACTTTCAGCACTAAATCCCCCCAACAGTAGCTAGGTAGGGAGCCAGTCTCCTTACCCTCTCTGTGCCTTGGTCTCTTTGTAGGATTCTGGAAGCATTCAAGGGAGTTGTATGTGTAGCCTTCAGAACAGTGCCTGATGTACAGTAAGTTGTCAATAAACATCAAGCATTTGTGGTAATAGTATTTCTTCCTCATTCCGTCCTTTAACTCTGGGGCAGGTGAAGAATATTATCGTTACTTTTCAGATGCAGGGAGGGAGTGTCAGAGCTGCAACAGAACCCAGATATTCTAACCTTCCTCACCTGAGGCAGAAACCTTGAATTCTGTGTTTCTTCAGGGACAGCCATTCCAGGTCACAAGCATTTTTGGGAAAAAAGGGGGTTCTTGGGAGAAGAGGTTCAGTACTAGAAAGCAAGCAAATTGTACCTTCAAATGGTACATACAAGAAATAAGAATCCACCCGAAGTCCAAGAAGAAAGAATTTGCCCGAGGGGCTAGTTCAGCACAGACGTGAGGGGAGCAGCCCCAGCAGACAGGAAGTCTAGGGCACCTTGGTGCAGGGAAGTGGGGAACAGAGAAGCTATCTCTGAGCAGCAGGATAGTTACCTCTGCCCCTTGAGGTTTCTTAAGGCGAGATTACTCTTAAAAATTCAGGATCATCTAGGCCTGAGTGAACCTAACATCCTTCCCCCCACAAGTATGAGTCGTTTCTAAAACAATTCCTTATTTTTTTTTTCCTTTGTATTCTAGTTTTGGGTTCTCCTGGGTACCATGTTCTACTGGAGCAGAATTGAATATTAAGAACAAAGTGTCACCACCACACCACCTTCCTCCAGTGACTCCGCAAGCGAGCTCTCCTGGTAGAGCCCACGTCTGCGCCCCGTGGGGCCCTGTGCCTCTTACTCGAACTGCAGAGGTAGAGGTGTACCCCTGGGCTTGCAGCCTCTCAAAATTCTCACTAGGGTTTTCAGACTGGTCTAGGGTACTGCAACATTTTTATAGCCATTTTTATAGCCAGTAGGAAAGGGAGACTTTGGAAAGTCAAAAACTGCTTCTTCCATCCTTGCCTATTTTTAATTTGAGGGCAAAAAGACTTCCGCAAGAACCTGTGTTATCTCAGCAAGCCAAGTCTGTATTTGCACAGCAAGGTTGCGTGCATTTCTCCCTGCTTTCTGAAAGAGACTTGCGAAGGCTTTCATTCTTCTCAGTCTTGCCCAGGTGAGAGAATTAAGGAAAAAGTTGTTGAGAGAGATCTTTGGCCTTTGTTCTATGGTGGCTTCCATCTACACAGATTCAAGTGATTCCCTTACTGCCGTCTTAGAACCATTTTGTTCTTCAGGACAATGCCCAACCTTGAGTTAACAGTGGTTGAAACTTCCTCTCAGACATGGCAGGGTGACCCGTGTGTTTTAAGCTCCCTTCTCCCATTAGTTCCTTTTACTGTCAAAATATTTCTCTTCTGAACTATGTTTCCGTTTGTGGTCCTGAAAGAAATTCTTACAATTCAATATTTGTCTAGTCTTATAAATAAAGAAGGCTTTTAAATATGTTCATTTTCTTTTGTTTTCACCAGTTGGCATAATTGGTCGCATAGCAAAACGAGTGTTCCAATGGAAGAGTCTTTTAGGTTCATGGGAATTAATGTTTAGGCGATTGAAAATGCCATTGGGTGAGGTTTCCTGCTGGATGCCCTGTAACTTTGCTGTACGGTTTTGATGGTTGGAAATTCTAAATTGACTTTTACTTTTCACTCCTGCTTCACTTAGCCCAGTAGTGGTGATGGAGCTCCAGCTCCTCAATCCTTTTCCTCCTGCAAGGGAAGTGACTCGAACTTGCAGCTGTGAATGATGTATCCTATGAAGGAAGTATAGGTTTTCTTCAGGGTCCTACTCACAGCCAACTCTGTCACAAGGAGTGCCCCTATCCCACATCCTGGTGAGTGAGGCTGAGCCCCGGGGTAGAGAGGGACAAGGGTGGAGTGGGGTGCGGACACACCTCTGCCATGCACCTGGGGAAAAGATGGGACAGCAGCCTGATCTTAATTCCCAGGACAGGGGGCCAAAGGTTCCTGTCCTGACACTCATCCAACCTTGCCTCTCACCTTGTCTCTCCAGGGGAGTGCTTCTGCTGTCAGGATAAATAAATGACACCTGCACTTAGCTGAGAAGGTTTTCTCCATGGTCTTTTAGAAGAGAGAAGGAGAGGGAGGGAGCTTACACTGGGCCAAGCTTTTAAATGCCTCCCATGCGTTCTGATGTCTTTTTCTTCCACTGATAACCAGATTTTCTAGTGCCTCCTGCTGTCTGCTGCCTGAGCAAAGTCTGCCCCAAACCCACTTCCGACTTCCCCTCTAGGGCTTCGTGCATGCTCCCAAAACTCTATCTACCCACAAAATTCCATTCTCCTTGTGATTTGATCTCGGCTAGGTTAAGGGAAAGGCTTTGTACAGACTAATTCATACTAAGGGGTGAGTGACAACTAGTTCCCTCTCTCTTCATCTTCTCTGTAGACTTTTCATTGATAACTGAAAATTGATCTCTGGTTGCTGGAATCCAAGGCAGCGGTAGGAGCAGGAAGAGCTCTCATGGGGCAAGATGGCCCTCCTGCTGCTCTCTAAATCTTACCTCCTGCCTTCTCTACCAAGAATTACCTAGAAAGAACACAGGCCTTTAGTCAGTGCCCCTTGTCCCCTCTCCAGCTAGATTCCTAGTGGAGCCTCAGCCTTATCTTCAGAGAAGGTGCAAATTCCACTGTAAATGTGGACAGGTTTTTGATCCGCCCCAAAATCAAGTAAGTCTCTGCATGCAGGTACCCACTATGTGCAGGCCCCCAACACGTGGGAGGATGTATCTTCCAGCTGAGACAAACCCAGGCCCGAAGACCCCTCTGCAGAGAATTGGCCATTCAGGCCCCTGCGCTTTCTGCTCCAGGGTCTCCAGTTTAACTGCAGAGCAATTTCCACTCTGCCTAGTTCCTGCTTCCACCCCTTTCCACCTGCTATGGCAGCCCAGTTTTCCCCTTCTGGAAGTGGGACTCACAGTGAGACTCGAACCACCATTCAGGGCAAGGCCCAGGTCCAGCCTCAACAATGCCACCTCCAGCCCCGCTAGACCAGGGAGTGGAAGGCGAGCAGGGAGCCGGCAGGTTGTTGGGTTCAAGACCCACGAAGACAAAACCATCTTGAGAAAATGCCACTCCAACTTATCTCCAACAGACCATGGGCCTGCTTATCAGGTGCACAAAGAATGATTACTACCTAACACCCAAAATGAGTCAGGCTAACTCTGGGGTAGGTGTTACTGGGTTGCAATGCCAGAGGGGTCATCATGGTCTCTTGATTGGCTCATTCCTTCCAGGTTGCCACTCAGGCTCCTGGCGGGCTGTGTACCGGGAATGTCAGAAAGCGTACTGCTCAGGGCACCTGGGTGGCTCAGTTAGGTGGCTGGCTCTTGGTTTTGCTCTGCAGTGATCTCGGGGTCTTGGGATTGAGCCCCCTCTGGACTTAGTGGGGGAGGGGGAGTCTGTTCAGGATTCTCTCTCTTCCTCTCCCTCCCACCCTTAAAAATAAATACATAAACCGAGAATGAAAGAAAAGGAAGAAGGAAGAAAGGGAAGGAGGGGGAGGGAAGGAAGGAAGGAGGGAAAGAGAGAGAGAAAGAAAGAGTGAGCCTACTGTTCAAGTTTGTAAGCCCTACAACTTATTTTCTACCTGAGCTGGATACACAGAGAGGCTCAGATTCTGAAGAGTAGATAGGTACTTCCTGGCTAAACAGATAATGGTCACGTGAGTTTGAAAATCCAATAGCCTCTCAAACCTCCACCCCGCCCTACCCCCACCCATCCCTGACAAGCCCAATAGGGCCAAGGAACTGGAAACTCAGCTGCTTTCTTATCTCTATTGATTGAACAAGTGTTTCTCCTCCTGTATCTAATATTTCCTTTCCTTTGTCTTTTCTGCTTCACCACACCCAGATCCTTATCACCTTCTATGAGTGAGGCTGAATGAAAAAAGAAACCAAGCCGAAGGCTAGTTGCAAGCTACAAAACTAGTTGCAAGCTAGGGAGTTTGCTTTCATGTGTGACATTTTCAGAAGGCTTAAGTGGCCCCATCTAAAGAGATGTACAAACATCTTGGGAACAGGCAGCATTGCTGAGAAAGCATAGTTCCCAGACCCTCCTCCAAGCAACCCTTCCCACAGTGCCCAGTCAACTCCCA